CTCACAATAAGGCATTACTTCTAAATATTTAACCTTTTTGTTTTTCAGTTTCCTTTAATGGTGTCCTATTTAAAAAAAATAGGACACATAAAGTTACCTTGTTTTTATTATTGTGCTAATTGTGGGGTCTGATGTTAATAGACAACATAACAAATGAGTAGTAGGCATTCCTTCCCAAACCATGTACTATCTAGATAGACCTGTGTGAGGCAAGGCTTGAAAGAGAAGAAAGTACCAGAGAACGTAGCGAGGAAGTTCAGATGAGAAGATACTAGGGAGAGAAAAAGATTTGGAGCAAAGAGCTAATTAGAGCAAAGCAGAGGAAGTTTTCTGAGTACTTAAAACTTTTTGTATGGTTCTCTTATTCATCTTGGGGTAGTAATTCATATTTTTAAATCACTTCCCAAGTAAGTCTTTAAATGCTTAAAATACAGTTAAAATGTGTTAATGACAACTTTCCAAAATGCTAATGTATATAGTTTAATCCCTTCCAAACTTTACTGATTGAAACTAGTTAGAACACAGCAGCAACCCCCATACACAAGATTTCCAGAAATTGCTTTTATTTTGAACCTGTTTAAATTGATCCTTTTGACTTGGGTTCTTCTCTGGAAATATTAAAAATTCCCAAATAAAATTGGGGATAACACATTGCCTTGCTGCGTATCTTTCTAAGAGAAAAATGAAGAGACAAAATGTTTATTTCATATTCAAAAAATACTTGCCTCTTACTGTGGCGTAAGAGCATACCAAGCAAGCAGTAATGTGGAGTAGCAATTGCTGTGGAAGTTGATGCTCCCGTATTCCCTTCAATGACTTGTTCAGATACCCATTCAGTAAACTTGCCTCAGTAGGTCAGTTCTGTCATAGGAAGCTGCTTCAGAAGGGCAAGACGAAGGGGCAGTACTCCAGGTAATGAAATAGGTAAAGGAAGTAAAATTGCTTTTGTCCTGGTTGACTTTCTTTTGGTAATTAACCTATAAAGGTTAATGTCAAATAGCAAGTTTATCTTTTTGCTCTCCACTTCTGGATAGTATTTATAATAGATTGACAGATTAGTGTACAGCTGATCCTGGGAAATAGAAATCGGGCTTTGTGAATGTGGGTTTTGCGGGGGACAAGTGGAGGAGAGCTGCCCATTAGTCTTGTCCTGTGTTTAATTAACTGTGCCCTAATGTTACAGACCGGGAATAGCATCTTCTAGTGGAGACTAGGGTGGACCGTGATGATACCTGATGGTATAAGACTTGCAAACATTTATTGAATTTCTGTAGTCCCACAGATGAAGGTGTTAACTAAAAGAATCCCTGCATCAGGTTCTAGAATAGCTTAATACCTGGTGTTCGATAATGTAAATACAGATTAATATTATAGTATCTACCTGTATTTTACTTGTGTGACTGATCTTGTTGCACTTGCCAGTTAGCAAGCCATAATTACTTTTTTTGCTTACTGATCAGTGTTCACCAATCTTGGATTCTTTTGTGCTACTCCATTTTGTCACTTTCTGCTGTATAATGAATATGCTTATTTTTCTAATCCTTTGTCTTAATTCAAAGGGCACTGTAAAGCTGTGAGTGAATCCAGGCATTTGTAGCTGTATTAATGTCCTTTAAAAAAGAAAATGATAATGAGTTCTGATTTAGAGAATATCCTAGAAAGTCAAATTAAAATTTGATATTTATAACATGGTTCAGTGGCAGAGCATGATAGTGCGGATGGAAGACTGATTTAATAAACATCAATCTTTCAGTCTTTTAAGGATCAAAATGCTTTTTCTTTCCAAAATGATCAAAAGTTGCAGCAGTCAGAAGGAAGTGTGTTATCTACATTTACTTGGATTGGATAGTTAGAGCCAGTTTTGCAATGAGATTTCCTGCTAGCTACTGTAATAGGAGGAGTTTTTAAATAGCTATTGCATCTGTTCAGTGAAGTTTCTGTACTATTTAATACGCATTGTGGGTTTTATAACTTTTGTGATAGCTATATCAGACCATAGCTTTGCTTCTTCTTGTCTTTGTCAAAACATTGTTTCATTTTATTTTTTCGATATTGAGTACATGATGGCTTTTTCTTTCTTTTATGTAAATGCGTATCTGTGAGCAAACACTCTTTTTGAGTATCCAAACTGCTGCGTAAAAACTTCAACCTGAAAAAAATATTTGCAGCAGGATTTTTGATACATTGATAGTGCTGTAAATTTTCTGAAGTGTGTTTTTTGTCAGAGCTTTTCATGCTGTTTGGCATGCAGATACACTATTTGCATTTTTTCTGTTCAGGTGAAACAGGTGTAGGGTAAATACTTGACAGCAAAACATTGTTGTTACCAGATATTGGAGATGAGATAAAAGAGCAGGGAGGATGGCCCTGGAGAGCCTGGGAACTTGCAGGAACATCAACCTTCAGCATGAAGAGGGGCAGTAAGGGCAGCTCGCTGCCTGAGGAGGCCGGGAGCCGGGAGCAACCGCAAGGCAAGCAGCGCATTTTCCCCATGGGCCGGCTCCGTGCTACCCAAGCTAGAAGAGCACAGCAGGTTTAGTTGCAGGGTCAGAAAATAGCCTAGCATTTGCCAAGCGAGTCTGTAGCCATGAGGCAGGGTCGTGGCAGCGAGTCAGTGCCAGACCCAGCAAGGCCGTGGCTGTGCGCAGCTCGGCCCAGGAGCAAGGCAAAGGCCTGAGTGTAAATGCAGCTTCTGAGCCAAGCAGGAGAGGTACCTGATGAGGCTCCTCACAGCCCTTGTCACAAGCGTCTGATCCAGTCTGCTTGCCATGGGATCAGGGCTGGCTTTGAGTGCAGGCGGCCCAAACCCCGGCACAGCAGCAGCCACGGGCCTGACAGGGAGGAAGTGGGCAAGCCCTTTGGCCTGGCTTGACAAAACCCAAGCAAACAGGGAAAGGGGGCTCAGCAGAGCCCTTTGGTGCCAGTGAACGTGATCAATGCTGCTGGTGCTGCCTCTCTGCCACCTACTTGCTGTGTGGTGAAGGACAACACTGTGACCATGGCATCTCCTGCAGCAGAAGTGCAAAGGAAGGCTGTACCTGTATAGCATGGCAGCACAGTGTGTTCCTCCATCTTCTCTGGCAACGTTCACTGCCGAGTGGTAGTCAGGCGCCACGGGCTACCTGTTGTACTCTGATGGCTACTTCCCAAACCAGGCACAAAAATGAAAGATGAACATTAAAAAAAAAAAAAAAAAAAAAAAAAAAAACAGAGCAAGTTCAGCCTTTTGAATGAAAGATCAGTTGGTGTAGCTGTATATACTTACAATAAATGGTTTTATTAGAAGAAAAAGCCGGGAATAATTCCTCAATGTGGGAGTATAACTCAAGTCACACAGAGAGCAGTTTTTAACTCTAGTTGCTCTCAGAAAGAAAGCATGCTGAGTAATATTATTAAGGTTCTAATCTGTCACTGTAAGGTTCTGTTTTGGACCCATTCTTTCTGAATATGAGTGGTTTCATGTGAAAACAGACACTGTGACACTGACAGTTTTTGATTATTGTGCTCTAAGGAGTGATTTTTTTTCCATGAGAAAATTCCAGCCCCAAAGCAAGGGTGTATGATGCTTTTGAGGGTATATAATGCTTATATTTTGAAAAAAGTAACCTCTAAACCTTAAATATATATATATATATGTATTTAATCTGAGAAAAAAAGGCACATATACTTCTTCTGTGGCTCCTTGCCAGAAATGCCTTATCATTTGTATATTTCATTCAAGAACGGAGTTTAAGGCCTTGACCTCGGGAGGCTGGAATACAGGCTTCGATGTACAAGCCAGCAGTGGGCTAGTGCCATCTCAACAGTAGTATTGTTCATCGCATTCAGAACACTGTTCACATTCAGACTTAAGCAGAGCTGGCATTAAAATGCAGCTAATTTGTTTCATGTGATTCATCAGCTGTGTGTTTTATTTAAATCTATGTCACATTTTCTTCTGGCCTTTTTTTTTTTTTTTTTTTTTCAGATTTCAGTGTTGAAGTAGGCTGCTCTTTAACTCTTCAGTCCCTGACTTAGTTTTCATTTTGCCAGTTTAGATTTTCAGGTCCAGAGTAGTCAAATATGCATAGCTAATGTCTCAGTTTTTTTTTTTTAATTTATGATGTTTGAGTAAAGACATCTGTGTGTTTCTGATCAATATTTAGCTTATTATTAACTCCTTGAGGTGAAGATCACTGTTCCAGGCTGAGAGATGTGTAGCCTGTTCGGCCTAAGAGAAGGCTGAGAGGAGATCCCTTAAGGGAGGGTGTCGAGAGGATGGAGCCTGACTCTTTTCAGTGGTGGCCAATGGTGTCCTCTTGATAGGACAAGAGGCAAAGCCACAAATGGAAGCACAGGAAGTTCTGTCTATTTGAGGAGAGACTTCTTGGCTATGGGGGTAAGAGAGCAGCTGGCACAGGCTGCCCAGAGAGGTTGTGGAGTCTCCTTTTCTGGAGATACTCGTAAGCTGCCTCGAGGTGATCCCGTGCAACATGTTCTTAGTGACTCTGCTTGTGCAGGGCTTTGAACTAGATGAACTATAAGGATCCCCTCCAGCCTCGACCGTTCTGTGATTCTAAACTGCATGAGCATTGCTATTGCCAGATATACTAGTTCAAAAATATTTTTAACCGTGGAATTTCTGAATTAGACACTGGAATTAGAATAGATCTTCGAGGTTAATAGTTAAGCATGGTCACCTAACCCTTTCCTTTGATGCTACAAAGCTATAAATTCCTCATCTGATCTTAATTTTCCGTATGGTTTCTTTGAGATTTCTCTGAAGCATACAATAAAACAAGATTCCTTGGACGTCTGTGTTCCTTCATTTTTAAAGTTTTACATTCTTCTTTCTGCAGATGGTGCAAATCTTCACACATTGTCTTTATTTTCTAGAGAACAAGTAGATGAAACTTGGTTGGATTGTCTTTTTCTATAGACTATCATTTTGCAAATGGAAGTCATACTCTGTTAAATATGATTTATTTGAGATTTATCTAATTATTGTCTTTTTTTTTCAGAATTTCAAAGAATATTCCTACAACAAAAGATGTGGAACCTCTTCTGGAAATTGATGGAGACATACGGAACTTTGAAGTTTTTTTATCTTCACGGACGCCTGTTCTTATAGCACGTGATGTAAAAACCTTTTTGCCATGTACTGTAAATTTAGATCCAAAGCTACGAGAAATCATTGCAGGTGAGTATATACCCAAATAAATGAAAAATGTCAGACTGTACTAACTAGAGCTGCTCAGCATGTTTCACAGAAACCTGATTTGTTCATCAGGTCATACGCTTGAACGTTGAATCGTTGCAAAACACTCATTAACCTTTGGTCTTGCGAGAATTTACATTTACACTTTATTTTTCTCACTACTTCTTCTGTAAGACTTCTCCAAAACCTTGTGCTATCTCCTGAGAGACAGAGAGAGAGAGAGCATTTGGAGGTGTTTAGGAGTCTGCATAACTTTTACAATAATTTGTCCCAACCCTGCTGAAGACGGCCATGCAGGTGTCATGCTCAAGAAAGAACAGCTAAGCAGTTGGAAGTGTCATACAGCCATCTACTTAAGGAGTTCTGCTTAGTGTTCAATACTCAAAAAGATACTGCAATGAATTGGCAAACAAGTTGAAACTTTCAAGTATTTGATGGTAAAACTTTTTCTTTTTTTAACCTTTTTATTTTCAGTCGTTCGTGCAGCAAGGGAGCAAATGAATATTGGAGGACTTCCCTATCCCACGTTGCCTCTGCATGAGGCCCCTGCTAGAGCAACATCTCTGTTCAGTCAGCCTTCTTCAGCTTGCTCTTCAACAACCTCTTTTAATGGACCTTTCAATAACGGGGTTTTATCACCACAACCTCATAGCAGTTACTATAGTGGTATGACAGGACCTCAGCATCCATTCTACAATCGGGTAAATAATCTGGTATTAGTTTATATTCTTATGATTTAATTTGGTAACATTGCAAATGTCCTCTACAAAATATTATATAAAAAACCCATGCAAAAAGAAAAGATCAAAAGTTGGTAAGTTTCAAAACAACAGTTGCCCCTCACTGTAGTCTCATGTAGAGATATGTGGTAAATTGCATCAGAAATACAAATCACAAAAATGATGAAAAAATGAAAAATGATATATTTTAGACACTATTGAATGCTGAGACACAACAGACTTTATTAGTTTTTTCTCTGGTAAGCTTTGCAGCATTGCTCACATGGTTGCTCAGAATCCTGCCTTTTTTAGTTACATAAAAAAGTTAAATTATACAGAAACTGAAGGCGGAAACTACATCAACATCTAGTGTGTGTAGACGTGTCTTCTGTTTTGTCTCGTCCTTTGAGTTATTCTATAGAGTTAATCTTTTCCACCAAGCAACTACATAGTTTGCATAAACTATATACTTGATTTTTTTTTTGTATAGTTACTTGTGGGCCTCAGAAAACATTGCTAGGCATGGTTCACGTTAAAATTGAATTAAACAATTTACTGTGGAGTTGAGTTTAAAAATTATTAGAAAAACTATTTTTAGCATCGGTTCAATCTGAAAGTTTTAAGTGTGAGTGATTATTAGATGAGCCTATGGTTAGTAAGAATGACTTTTTGGTATGCTTACATCAAAATTTATAATGGTAATCAGTAGATGGTAATTATTTTGTTTACAGTTTAAAATTTCAGCGAGTGCCCCAAGTAAACGGTAATTTCCGATATTTGTAGAATATATTCAGTCTTTTTTAAACTTTTACATTTTTCTGGAATGCCATCAGAAAGAAAGTGTTCAGAAATGTAAGTCATTGTCAGAAAAGTATACAAGAAAATACTTCAGTGAGATTTAATAGCAAGTTAATTTTAAAAACAAGCTAAAAAAATGAAAATTAAAATATTACTAAATTGATGTTCATTGACTGGATGAAAAATAATACATTTCACACAGAACCTTTTAAGTTACCTTTTGTAAAATTATTTTTATGTTTGCTCAATTCAGTGACAATATTATGTTGTGCTGAAAATAACTCGCCCTCTTCTTTGAAGTAGTGCAGTGCTGATCAAAAACTCATCACATGAATCTTTATAATAAATCAAACTTGTGGGTGTTTAATTGGAAGTGCTGTTTTTGCGTCTGTGCTACTGTACATGACAAGGCTTGGAGTATGTGGTAGTACACTTACTTTTTCTAGCCCTTTTAAACAGTACAAACCCAATTATTGATGAGTCATAAACCATTTTTACTGTCGGCTTATCTGTTCGTTTGTATTATTTATGTATATCCAGGTAAATTTTTTCCTCTTTTTCCTTTTGCTTTTTTTTTTTTTTTTTCTTGCTGGGGACCCAAATATTTTTTTTAAACTTTCTGGAATTTTGTACCACTCTTCGAAGGTATAATTGTTTAAAATCTGTTTCACACTTTCAGAGAGAGGCAAAGAGCTATATTTGCTCCATTGCTTGGTGGAGTGTGCTGTGTACCAGGATAAATGATGAGATAAATGATTATTATAGTAGAAAATGGAGATTGCAGGGTGGTTGCTAGCAGTGTCCACTTAATTCCTTTAGCACCTTCAATCACACTTTCATAGAATCACAGAATCATAGAATGCTTAGGGTTGGAAGAGACCTCTAGAGATCATCTAGTCCAACC